AGTCAGCTCCTTGACTATTCTATGATGCATTTCATTAGGCCTTGGTGATTTGAAAACATCTAATTTGTCTAAGTAATTTTTAACTTGTTAGTTTTCTTATTTTAGCCTCTGATCCTATCTCATTTTTACTGGCATTCACTATGCTAGATGTCCAATCACCACCAACCTTCTTGGTGAAAACTGGAACAAAGAAGTCATTAAGCACCTCTGCCATTTCCACATTTAATGTTATTGTTTCCCCCACTCATTGAGTAATGGACCTACCCTGTCCTTGGTCTTCCTCTTGCTTCTAATGTATTTGTAGAATGTTTTCTTGTTATTCTTTATCTCTCTAGCTAGTTTGATCACCTTTTGTGCTTTGGCCTTTCTAATTTTGTCCCTACATACTTGTGTTATTTGTTTATATTCATCCTTTGTAATTTGACTTAGTTTCCACTTTTTGTAGGACTCTTCTTTGATTTTTAAATAATTGAAGATCTCCTGGTTAAGCCAGGGTGGTCTCTTGCCATACGTCCTATCTTTCCTACTCAGTGGGATAGTTTGCTTTTGTGCCCTTAATATCTTTTTGAAAAACTGCCAACTGTTTTCAATTGATTTTCCCCTTAGACTTGCTTCCTATTTGATCTTACCTATCAACTCCCTGAGTTTGCTAAAGTTTGCCTTCTTGCCTTCATTGTCTTTATTTTGCTGTTCTCCCTCCTACCATTCTTTAGAATCATGAACGCTACCATTTCATGATCACTTTCACCCAAATCTGCTTTTCATCTTTCCTTCTTGGTTTAGTTCCATCTCTCATCATCTATCTGTTTTTTCAGTTTCTTTGAAAAAATGTATTAATAAATTAATACATCACTTCTGCTTCTTTTCCCTCTCCAATCCACTCTGCACCCCAACTAACCATGGTACATCTATCTTTATTCCATCTTTATTTTATGTAGCTCTCCTTTTCATCCTGAACCTCATTCTTCTTTGAATAGTGTCCGTATGGGTACTCTGCTTCAGGTGCGTGTGTGCCCCATGTGCCTTTGACTGGAGATTTTCAGTAGCAGTGCCCATTTGGCCCACGCATGCTCTCCAGAAATCCTCTTGCCCTGTACAGAGTAAGATAAAGGTGAATCAGGCCTCTTCGGCATCTCCCCCATCTCAGATGTATTTCAGGTTTGCTTTGTTAGACAGGTTCATTTCTCTTCCCCCTTCCCCCGCAATTTATATCACTCTTAATGAAGGGAAGTGGGGAAAATGAAGATAGGTTTTTAAAATGTAAAATAAATAGGATGGAAAGATAACCAGATTAAGTTTAAGAAGTGATCAGTGCTGACCTTCCTAATATAGCTCCTTTATGACTCTGCTACATTTATTGCACACACCCAACAGGAGTTCTCAAATTTACATGAAAAATATTGCATGATAGGGAAAAGGAGCCTCTTGTGGTCACCTCCCTTCCCAACCTCATTTCCATACCTTGCTTATGAAAACTAAAGTTCTTGGTTACATGAAAAAGTAATGTAAAAGACAGACCCAAAGATGGACCAAAATTTTTCTTTCATAAACTGTGTGGAGCTTCTTGGTTCTCTCTCTGCCCATGCTGTATCTGTACTGTCTATGCTCTACCTGGCAGGAGGACTTGGTTTGATACAAGTTCTTTTCTTATTACCTGTAACCTCCACTACTTGAATCATTGCAGATCACTTTCAGCTTAGAAACCAACCAGAAAAAAAGAACTACTTTGTCATATGTATATATGGTTAACTGGATTTTCACCAAAGAAAATGCTGACAAAGACATGAAGCAGCTCTTGAGGGTGAAAAAAGTAGCTTGTTCTTTGGGTTTCTTCATTGGTCTGGACATTCTGAAGAGTCTTTGACTAGGCTTCAACAAACATGAAGCAACAATTGTTTGACAACTTGCAGATGCCATTGTGATATAACAGCTCCATGAATCACACTTTGAGAACCATTATATTAGAGATAAAACCCGTTTCCTTTTCCAGCCTCTCCTAAGTGGAATCCAAACACAAATTTTGAAACCTTACAGTGGTATTTAAGTTAGACAAGATGAATTCAACTATCTTTAACTGAAATACTGCACGTTCAGCTAAGAATGGATAGTATTTTTGACCTGATGGGAAAAAAGGAGTGCTGGAAATTGTAGAAGAAATCCTGTACTAGCAATATTTACAGCCTGATGTCTAAGATCAGAGTAAGTTTGAGATAAGCATCCAAATTGAATCTCTACTCATTACTAATAATTATTAAGTAGAAATTTGCAGACAACTATGCATTAAAAATAAATTAACAGGAGAAACTAACCAAGAAGACATGATGAGCAGCACGAGCAGCCACACTTTACAAGCCTAGCTAGATCAATGCCTTTCGAAAGATTCTAGTACTTTACTAACTAGATAAATATTTTACCAAAATGTGCTCTGCTGAGAAAGTAGCTGATGGGGCAAAGTTACTAATTGGTTCCATTATGACATGAATATGCTAGCTAAAATTGAGGATATTAGACTAAAAAATTGTCCATTAAATTTATGGACTAATTTTTGTACACATATAGTTACTAAATTTAGTTAGTAAACTAGATAATTGGGTTGTTGTATTTCTAGCTTTAGATATAAAGAATAACTGCTTAATTAGATAATTTAAAATGTCTGACTGCCTATTTTAAGTATCCATGAGCAAATGCTGACTTCAACTTGACTTCCTATTGAATTCAGAAGACCGTTTATATACACAAGACAAATGAACTGAAAGGTTGTGGGGATTGAAAATGAGTTTGTAGAAAGTAGGCACACAAATTAAATGTTAACAAAATCCATTTTTATCTCATGCCAACAATTATACATGAATCTAAGGTTTATGCTTTTCAGGTATTGTTATAGCTTTATGATATACTAAGCTACAAAAATACTTGAAAAGCAGAAACCTAAAAGACAAAGGATAGAAATGCTTTGAAGATTAGCTAAAGCATCACAACATTCATCTAAGCAAATTCCACATGTTCTAAGTAAAAGAGACACCTCCCCCCCCCCCCTTTTTTTTAAGGATATACATTTGGCTAAAAGGTGGTATGACCTCGCAGCACAAACAAGCCCAGATGCTTCCATTCCAGTGTTCTTGGCACGTATGAAGCTAGAAGTTAAGCTTCTATTCAGCGAGATGCAACTTTTCAAGGTAAGTATGATTTGGACATACTGACAGGCTTTCACCAGGGCCAATTCTAATATTTTTTACATTTTATTCTATACTTTTAGATTTGCTTATTGCACCTATTCCAGACCCTGGCTATATTACATAATAAGTCCTGTTTCGGTAAAAATAGGCCCACCATCCAAGACTTGTCATACAAATTGCACTATTATTTCCCAATCCTCACACTGCAATTTCCATTTGTACAAATGCAGAACACCCTTCAAAAGTGAAACCTATAATTTTAGTTGTAAATTAAAGTGCATGTCACTTGAAGCCCTTCAAACCTTTAGTTTGACTGCCAGTCTGCCAAGTTTAGTGGCAATACAGTGCCCTTATGATGCAAGGCATCAGAGTTTGTGTCGTCAGCTCATCAGGACCTGGGAGCACATCATGGTCATCTGAAGGAAGTGGAGTCCTTGCTTATTCTTAAGCGATCTTCTCCCAAAAACCCGGGAGTGGTGTAGTGCTGATGAGATCCAGGGGACTAGTCCAGTCATCTTTTGCCAGGACACAGATTTGAGCTATAATAAACCTTTCCGCAATGGATTCCTTCACTTCCCTCCATGCCTTGATTAGTTATTAACTAGAAAACCCAGCTGCTTGTCCCTCCACTTCACACAGTGAAAGGAAATACTTCTGATCATCTATTCTGAAACAACTCCACCAAACCCTATCAGAATCTGAGGTTTGGGAATATAACCTATAATCCAAATTTCCCTAGGAATAGCATGCAATACTGGTAGTCTGAAGCTGTTCCTGTACTGCCTCCCAATCTGTTGGGGATTTCCACATAGTAAGCAAGCTGGGTGCTGCCTCAGAGCCATGCAGTACTTGTGCACCCCATTACAGATGCCCTATATGCAGAACAAAAAAAACAGGTGAACTCAGAATGTCTGTTTTATAGAATTGTGGGTTCAAAAAATAATTAGATAAGTTCATGGAGGATAGGTCCATTAATGGCTATTAGCCAAGATGATTTGGGATGCAACCCCATGCTCTAGGTGTTCTAAGCCTCTAAGGGTATGTCTACACTGCAATTCGATACCCACAACTGGCCTGTGCCAGTCGACTCAGGCTCACAGGGCTTGGGCTAAGGGGCTATTTAACTGTGGTATAGATGTTCTGGCTCAGGCTGCAGCCCAAGCTCTGGGATCCTTCCACCTCCCAGGGTTTTAGACCCTGGGCTCCAGCCCAAGCCTGGGCATCTACATTGCAATTAAACAGCCCTACAGCCCGAGTCAGATGGCATGGACCAGCTGCAGCTTTTTAATTGCAGTGTAGATATACCCTAACTGCCAGAAGCTGGGAGCAGATGACAGGGGATGGATCATGTGTAAATTGCCCTGTTCTGTTCATTCCCTCTGAAGCATCTGGCACTGGCCACTCACGGAAGACAGGATAGTGGGCTAGATGGACCATTGGTCTGACCCAGTATGGCCATTGTGTTCTTATTATAGGCTTTATTCTTCTGTGCTTACTATATTATACATCTTGTCCTGCTTTAAGTTTACCAATCCTAGCATTGTCTAAAACCTCATTAAAAAGAGCATAATGCTTTCATTTTACACATTTTAAAAATAGCTTCTATTTTGCATGTAAAAAAGTATTCTCTGTATTGCTGAGATCTCCCTTTCTGTCCTAGCAGTTTACTTCAAGTCAGAAAATGTCAAAACTGGACACCATGCTGCGACCACATTGGGATCTGTTTGTATTGGTAGTCATAGTTATTTTGCTTGTACTACTGATAAGAAATAGGTAGAACTGGGACAATGTTAATGTGAAAATCTTTTGGTAGTTTCCTTTATATTCTAAATAAAAATTATATTACTCATTTTTCTAACATCTCTTTCTAATACTTATGTAACAAAGTGAATATACGTGTAGCCTTAGGGAGAGTTAGTAACATTACAAAAAATTAGGTTCTTAATTTAAAACGGATAATTTGCTTACAGAAACTAAAATCTGTCAGTACAGCAAAATCTTTCATTTGCTCGCTGATGGAAACATACACAGCAGATAACCAGCTATCCCAATGCTCGGGAGTATGTTGTGCAGAAAAAATCCCTTATTTCATAAGTTCCTTAAATATTGTTTACACTGCTTATTTGAAAGAATTATATTAAAAGATCAACTCAGTGAGCCAGCATACAAAAGGAAAGCAGAAAGAATTAACAAAAAGCTGCCAGTAGGAAGCTAGACAACCAACAGTTTTTAATGACTGCGAATGGGTTCACAGGTTCCATTTCAACAGACCAAATATGCCATTAATCCATTGTTCAGTCACTGAAATAGATTCTCTGCAGTTTGTTACCCGATTATTGCTCTAATTAAGTAGGCATGACATTCACTAGAGTTTCTACTAACTAACAGAAAGCCTGATCCTGCATTCATTTAGTGGCAAAACGTTCCTGGACAGCCCATGGTGGAAGATCAGGCCTCTAGCATGACACTGAAGAAAATCATTTTTCTAGGGGAGAAGACTTCTGTATGTATGATCATTTTATATCTGTCCTGCACATACATCACTTGTTTTGTCAAGCCACCAGTTCCTTCTCTCTTGAGGCTTTAACAAATGATCACCATATCTATCTCTCCTATTCAATGCTACTAGTAGCTCCTGATTTGAGATCTAACTTCTGTCAGTTTCTTTTTGTAACGTCCCCCCCTCTTAGGAGTCGTAGTTAATATGTGCAGGAAATAATAAAAGGCCAGATTGTTGAGCTCAGACTCATCCAATTAGTAACATTGATTTCAATTAAACCACGCCAGTGATTAAGTGCTCCTGAGGTTGAATAAGGGATCCCCAATCTGGCTCCAGAGGACTTGCATCTTGGAAAAATAGAAGATAAAATGTTTGTTAAATGAATGAGACCAATTTAAAAACTTTTACTTTTTTTAAATAACTGTGCATATATACACAAACATAAGAGGAAGATATTCCCAATATTAGCAAACACTCTAACGTATTGGCAAGAACAGTAATATCAAAAATGAACTAAACAGAAAAGTGGAAGGGTTTTTTTAATTAGACATGAACTTGCACTGAACCAAGCAGTACACGCAATACAACCAATAGGATTTTTGACTGTGTACTCAGGTCTCACTTACGTAACTGACCAGGGGAACAAGAATCTCTTGACAACACAGTGGTGAGAGCACATCTACAAAGAAAAACAAATTGGATGGCATTCAGAGAAACATCAAGTGATTAATGGCCTACAGACACTGATCTACTGTGTGAGTTACAATTAAAAAAAATGCTTAAACATCAATAACCCCCAGAAGTTCTAAAATGACTAGTAATTTTGCATGCTTAGCTCAACACGCCTTAAGGGGCCTGATTTTTCAGAAACTACTGAGCACCCATGGAAAAAAACAGTTATTTTTAAAAATATCAAATTGGGCAGCCAAATTGAGGCCTCCTAGTAGTACTAGTCACTTGTGGAAAGTCATCCTGACAAAGATTTTCAAACACCTGAAATTTTTAAGCACTAAGGAAATTGTAAGGGGGTTAGAATTTAGGGTAATGGAACAAAGTTAAGAGAGGGAAAAGTCTAGACTATATATCAGAATTTTTATTTAGTCAGAACCTTCTTGATTGCTGGACTGGTCAAAATATTCAATAGCATAAGAAAATGAACTGAATACCAAATAGATTTTTTCCTTCTCACATGGAAAGGAAAGGAAAGGAAAGGAAAAGGGCAGCGAGCAAGGGGCATACTGATAGATGGCAATGAATTGCAACTGGATTAACCAGTTCAAATTCAAGTGTACCCTAATTCTCTAATGTCATTAAATGTATCTGATAAGTGTCATGCCAAGTGTCAAAGAAAAACTCATGGTTCACTTATCACATAATGTAGGTGCAAGCAATTGATGGAAAGTTATGGACATAAACTCAAATTATCACTGTTAAGATGCATGTGTCAGCCAGACAGGAATTACCCCACTGTGAGAATGGAATGTGGCTTCCCCAACCAGGTGTTACTTCCAGAGTACTTTGAAAGACAATGAGAATGTATTTGCATACTGCGTGAACAGACCCATCAAGCTAACCAGGGAGAGAGAGAGACAAGCCTCACACTATCACAGCGGGGGAGATGACAATCACATGTATAATTTTCATTCAATTGTAGTGGAGGAGTCAGGAACTAAAAAATTTGCATTTTAGCAGACAACTACTCCAGCGGGGAAGAAGTCGCATGCCACTTCCTTGAAGACAGTTTGCATTATTGCCTACCTCACAAGCTACAAACACACTTTTATCTGGAGGTATCCTTCAGAAGACTCCATTTCAAAGGTTCATTGGACTATAAAATAGAGGGGCCAAGAAACCTCAAGTTATCTTTCACCTAAGAAGATGAAGGTACCAGCCTTTTGACTGTGGAGGATAGACCCTGAGCCAGGAATTTGGTCAGCCGTCTTGATGGAAACGTGGTGAGGATTTTACCTTGAACCAAGTCTAGCTTGTTAAGTTTAGTTACCAGAATACACTTTCTCTTTATTTCTCTTGCAACCATTTCTGAGTTTAATCCGTACACTAGTACTCACTTAATCGCTCTCTTTGTAATTAAACTTGTTTTATTTTTAACCTAAACCAATCCAGTACTATGCTTGAATTGGTTGGTAACTCTAGTTAAAGTAACAAACTGTTGAATATTGTCTTTTTGAAGGAAAAAAAGAACCTTGACATTCCTTTGATAGTACCAGGACAGGGCTGAACATTTCAGAAAAGACGGTTACTCACCGTTGTAACTGTTGTTCTTCGAGATGTGTTGCTCATATCCATTCCATTAGGTGTGTGCGCGCCGCGTGCACGATCGTCGGAAGATTTTTACCCTAGCAACACCGGCGGGTCGGCTG